AATAAAATAATCCTATTTAATTCTTATTCAATAAAATCAATAAAATTTATTTTACTTTTTTTTTTAGCAATTGATTTAATTAATAATTTATTACAAGTAAAACAAAGAAAACGTTATACTGTAGATAAGAGTTTACAACATGTTTGGCTTCAGGTAAGCATTTTAATAAATATTTTTTAATATTATAATATAAGTTTATGTTATTTTATATTATATTTTTTCTAAGGATTATCAAACATGGTGTGATTTACGAGAATTAGAAGCAAAAGTGGGATATCGTTATTTGACTCATGAAAGTGATGATGCTCGATGGTTAGCATATAGTAATCAGTGTACATGACAGAATTATCCGCCTTCGTTAAACATCGAAACACTACCAAATAATTTGTCTATACATAAAGGCTGGGCACGTAGTGCTCGAGCTACATTACGACGTTTTATTCGTGCCTGACTTGAATACATTCAATTCATGAAAGGGAGTACAATTATATTTCATTATAATATAATATCAATGTACTGATATTAAACAAAACTATTATATATCTTCCAAGATATTTTATGTAGAAAATAAAGATTATTACGTAGAAAATTACTTAGACTGCATTCGTAAGATAAGATACTCAATGGATATATGAAAACAATAGCAATTTTTTTATGGACATTCTTAAATTTTAGTAATGAATTTAAACATGTTTCATTATATAAATTATTTGATAAAAGTTTTTTGCTCTTAATAAATTATGAAAGATATTTCATAAAATAATAGATATAATATAATCATGACATTTTTGATAATTATTTATCTTATTATAATATAAATAATTATTTCATGCTGTTTTATCAATCCAATTTATTAAATTGGAGAATTTATTAAATATATAATATCATTTTTGAAGTATAAGCGCTAAATAATAATAAATTTTCAAGCTTAACATATGCATAGAATATTTTATAATTTTGCAAAAAATGCTTAAAATAGAATAATTATAAGATTAGAATAATTAAAATAGTATATAGCATATATATAAATTATGAAATACATATATATTTCTTTTATATGCATAAATCTTTGGGGTATGGTTAAAAATATTATTGTAGAAATTTCTTAATAATTCAAGTTTTTCATAGATTAAATTAATATACACATAATATTATGCTATGATAAATTTATTACTTCGTATTTTCGCTTCAAAATGTTTAAATTTAGAAATTAGAAATTTTGACATCTATAACTTTTGTCAAATTTTTTAATGAAAATAATTAAAAATTATAAAATCGTGAATAAAATATATACTGTAATTTATTGATTTTTATGTGATAAAAAGTAAGATTATTGCAGATGCAGTCTTCTTAGACTTTTGATCTTATAGATCATAATAAACTTTATAAACATTCTTCTTTATTTACTATTAATCATAACGGAGTTTATAATTAAATAAATGTATTCTAAATAATTTAAAATCTATTATATATACTCAGAAAAAAATTTCTATATAACAATATTATAATTACTATTGTGATAAATTTTGTATTAGAAAATAGCAAAACAAAATTTTTTTTTTAAACTACTTGATAATTAGTATGTAATAGAAATAATAATAAATTTCAAGTTTTAAATATATTTATTTATTTTTTCATTAATTCGCAATATTGTCTTATTTTTTATTATTTAATTTTATTTAAAACAAAATACGTTCCAAACAGAAAAAAAAATTAATTATATTTTTCTTTTTAATATTGTGTTCATTCCATTATATTCATTCCATTACTATTTTCTATGATTAATAGGATAAAATAAAATTTATAAAGTCATTAATACATTTATATATATATATATATATATATATACACATTTAATTAAAAATTAGTAAAAATTTATTTTTTTTAGTTATTATTAC